TATTATTTAATACTTTTTATTATATTATTTATATTAATTAACATAGTGGATTGTTAAGAAGCTGTTTTAATTATATTATATAATTTTAAGATTATCTAATTTTTTAGCATTTTTTTTGTCATTTAACATTTTTTTAACTATTATATCGGTTAGTTTAAGCCAACACGAGCTATTTTAGCAATAGTGCTCAAATTTTACCAACAAACAACTTATTTCGTAGTTTGTCAAATATAATTGTAAGTTGATACATCAGTTGGGGGAATGATGGATGTTTTATAAGAGATTGAATATCTTATATATCAAACGCGTTTTAGCCCCATGAGCACATATGTGGACAAAATGAACAATATCTGATACGATTGACACAGATGTTACAAATGGTACCAGATTTGGAAACCAGAATGGTGGGCCAAATGTTGAACTCCCAAAGGTTATGATTGTAAGACCCCACATTGATTAGGTAGATGAACGAATATGGCTTTATAACAAGCGACCATTCACCTCCCTTATCAGATGTGTGTAGATAAAATAAACAATATTTATGATATAAATATTTCTAAATATATTTTCAACAATAAGAAACTTTGAAAATAATTATTTAAATTGAAAAATAATATTTTAATATTATAATCAATGATGAATTTTTCAAAATAAAAAATATCTGAGAGATGATTATAATTGTTTTTAAGATATTGAATTTTGAATTCAAATAAATTTTAAAAAGTATGTGGAAGATTCTTTTGTAATAAGAGTAAATTACGGATTTGATCTAATTTAGTTTACACTTTCTTTCACAATGGTACCAATATCTCAAAATAAATACAGATTTGGTATCTTTGGTATATTTTACGCACCTATTGAGTCCCTAACTCGAACATCCATTAAATATCTTTATCAGGCTAGTTAAGTCTAAAGACGTTTGGGTCTTTTTCACTCTTTTTGTATTTTCCCTCGTAGGGATACACACATGCACATGTATATTATAGAGTAAAGATGCATATTTGGTCCTTGTGGTTTACATCTTTGGCACCAGTCACCATCTTCGACCATGGTCTTGTACTCGCACGTATATGCACGCACACCAGTTTGCAACCTCGTCTCCACCCATTTATTAGTCTCACCCTGTCTCATCCCCTTCCCCGTTGACCCATTGTAATCCCATCTCCATCTAAACCCATCGTAATCCTGTCTAATCTAAACCTCTCATGTATTAACCCTTTTCTCTTTGTATTTCCTTACAACCCCTTCATCAGAAGTTGCAGGCAATACTCGATGATGGCGAAAGATGAAGATGCAACGGGTTTCACTAGCGGGAGTGGTTCAACGATGATCAAAACTTAAACACTCAAAATCGAAACCCATATTCAGTAGCTTCGTTGCCATCTATTGGAAACTAAAACACCGTGAAGATGTCTCCACCCATTTCTTCGTCTCCGATGATGGTGGAGTGGCTTTGAGGAAGCAACATGTAGGGAGGAAGTTGCAGGTGGTGGTCGGTGTGGAGCTGCAGGTGGTGGTGGGTAGGGGTGCTAAAAAACCTGACCAACCGGTTCAACCTAATCAACCCAGCCCAAGCCCAACACGAAATAACTCAATCCGATGTCTAATCGAGTTGTAAAATTGTCAATTTGTAGGTATTGGGTTGATATTGAGTTAGTATTATTTGAACCCAACCCAACCCGATATCATTTTATTTATTGGATTTAATATGATTGTTGAATTTCTATTAATATGTACATTAAACAATTACACTATTATGTATGCTCTTCATATACACATATTTTCAATCTATTCACATCTTTATATAACCCATTCGTATATATGTTTAGTAACAGTAAACATATATTTGTAAATTGAGAAAATTAACTGAATGTGATATACATAAGAAACATAGATAAGTTGTATCAAATGGTTGATGATGAAAAAGAAATTATGAGTAGAGAAATAACATATTATAGGTTAGAAAAATATTTTAATATACTAAAATATCAAATCGACTAACCCGTACGGGTGGGTTGGGTTGCACTTTGGTTCGGGTTGGATTGAGTTAATATTTTTTAAACCACACACATTGAGTTGGACTGTTCAAATGTCTTCAACCCAATCCATGAGCACTCCTAGTGGTGAGCATGGTCAGGATTGGAGCTGCAGGTGGTGAATGTATCATATGCATGAGTATGTATATATGTGAATGTATCATATGTATGAATGTGTGTGTATATATGTGTTTAATTTATTATTTAATATTAATGAGTAGTGTTTTAAAATTATGTAATAAGATAAATAACAAGAGATTAAAAGACTAAAATACCCTTAAATTTAACTGGGTTAATAAAATCTTTTTGATTTCGTCTCAATACATATCAAAGATACCAAAGGTGTATTTATTTTGATTTTTAGACGATGGTTGTTAGAAAGTGTAAACAAGTATCCCTAATTTACTCCTTGCAGTGATATAAATATTTTGACCATAAAAAGTCGCCTTTTAGCATCTTATTATAAGGCATCTTTTATCTATTATGTGTGGCCTACACCCTTACTTACACTTGCATCCAATTCAAATGATTTGGCACTAAAAAAATTAAAGAAAGAATCAACAAAGAAATTGGGGAGACTTCTTAGTTCATCCAAACATGTGCGCAGTTCGATCAAACAAAGATTTCAAAAGGCCAGCTGATTAAGTGAATCAAAAGTGTTGTTGCTTTTGGGAGACAATCGGAATCAGAATCGGAATCCTCTATTGATGCTTTGAAAAAACTTAAGAGTGAAAAGAACAGCAACTGATGGTGTTTTGATCTATTTAATCCAGGTTTATATATCTGAATCATTCATGTAGATTCATCACTTCATTTTTTATCTCCAATTTCAAATTGCCGATTACAACAATTTCGGAACGTCAGTGGCGGTGCGTTTGTTCTAGATGGCGGTGGCGCTGCTAAATTTACTCTAAATCGGTGGTGGTTGTTCGATCGAAATTTTCAGATCTAGTTTCGTAATTGTTCTTAAATTCAAGTCGTTCTTGTTTTAACATTGGTGATATAAGAGATGTCTTAGATATGCGTATGCCGTATGTTGACGTTCATATATGGAAAGTGACTAACCAATAAATTTGCTCTAGAAGGGTGTCTTATTCTTTTCCAAAAAGATAACAAGTGAATTTGTAGTCGTACACGAAATCAATGCAGATAATAACTTAGTCCATACTCCATAAGTATGATGATGTCGGCGAAGCTTCTTTGTAACCGCTTCTTAGGGTTCGTGGAAAACATCTTGCCTGCGTAGGTAGAAAGTATTGGTCGTCTTGTAATTTCCAGGCTATTTATCTTTCCGTTGGCTATTCGAAAAAGAAAATTCTTCTGTTTTTGCTATATATATGGTGCTCTTATTCGGTTTTACATTCCAACCATCACCGTTTGTTTTCGAGAAGGTTGCTTCAAGAAAGATTATATTGGAATCTTGCAGATTAATTGATTTGATTCCATCGGATTGGATATGGGGGGCAAAAGTTCAAGAGAGGAGCGGCCGAGGCAGTCACCATCATTTCAATCAACGTCATCTTTTACTGGAAGTCAGTATGGCGGCTATCCTCAACAAACTTATTCTTATCCCCCTCAAGACATTCAGAATTACCCTGTTCAGGAGGCTTATCCGGCTTATCCACAACACTATCCTGCCACTGTACCTGCTGCTCCATCTCCTGCTCCGGCCTTTGGAGGTCAAACCCATAGACCCCAGAAGAAGCTTGACCGGAGATATTCAAGGATTGCCGATAATTACAGTTCATTGGAACAGGTAAAATTGCATGCAATTTTCTTACACAGTTTGGAAGATATGATGTAAAAATGATCTATTTCTTTGTGAATATTAGGATCCTATGATCGGTTGGCATATATGTCAATCTTAAATGAATTTGGAGAATGTTATGCAAATGGATCTTGTCTTTAATACTTGGGGGTAGATTCTAGTATGCTGGTTCTTGGGGAGATTTGTTTTCAAAAGATACATCATACTTTTCTAATACAGTTGATTTTGTCGTAGCATGTGCAAATTAGGGCTGAGAATCAGTTTCTTGTAGTTTTGGTTAGAAGCTTCCTCTGTTAATAGAATGATAATTTCACTTATTGCGCAGGTGACTGAAGCTCTTGCTCGAGCAGGGCTCGAGTCTTCTAACCTTATTGTTGGTATTGACTTCACCAAAAGCAACGAATGGACCGGTAACATCACTATCCTTGTTGTTTCCCATTATAATGCTGAAAAAATAACTTGCTATCCATGTACTGCTAAATAGGTTCAAGGTCTTACAACAGAAGAAGTCTACATCACATTGGAGATGGTTTGAATCCGTACGAGCAAGCAATAACCATTATTGGGAAAACATTAGCTGCCTTCGATGAGGATAACTTGATTCCTTGTTATGGTTTTGGAGATGGTACGGTTTTGTTAGCTAGTAATTATAGTCTATGGTGATAATGCAATGAATATGGGTTTGTAAATTTTATGTTTTGCTACCAACTGGCAGCGTCAACACATGATCAAGATGTTTTCAGCTTTTATCCAGAAGAGAGGTTTTGTAATGGATTTGAGGAAGTCTTGACTAGATACAGGGAAATTGTCCCTCATCTAAAGCTTGCAGGTATGAGTTACACTACTGTTTCCCTTTGTATCTTGCTTACAAAGTAAACTTTAGCCACCGGTTCTTTTAAGCTGTATGATTATTTGTCATGCTGCTGCAGGACCAACATCATTTGCACCTGTCATTGAGCAGGCTATGACTATTGTTGAACATACTGGGGGCCAGTATCACGTGTTACTGATTATTGCAGATGGGCAGGTAGTTCTCGTTGGTCAATATGATTATTTGAGTCCCTTTGGCTTTTAAACTGTGCATGATTGGATGTTGATCAGTTGATGTCACACTAAGGAGCAGTATTTTGCAACTATAGTGATGGAGTGTGACTGGTATGCACTGCCACGTCTGTAAATCATAGTTGATGATAGTGTATAATAATTTTCATAAAAGATGAATCATTATGGATGCAATTACAAACTACTCTAATTTTTATTTGCATAGGACAGCCACCTTCACAGGATTTCACCATAGATTTTTGTCTTAGATTGATGGCCTGGTTTTTCCTCGCTCCAATATGTTGAGTCTAGGCTTCATGTTTGCACTGATGGACATACCTGCCATGCATAGGGAAACTTCCTTCTCCAGAAATTTCAATCCATATTGTACATAATATGCAATAAATCTGGTAAAATGTCTCTAGCAGGAAATTCACTTTCCGTTCTTATCTGTTGCTTCTAGCGACCTTATAGCTTGAAAGTGTTTACCACCCTTTCTATTTGACCTACAAGGTCTATGATATGTGGATAGAACATGCTCTATAATCATCAATTCCTTCATTCTTGTTAGTTATAATTGGTTGGGTTATCCCCCAAAACTGCTCCAAAATGATTTATCCATCTAATATTCCATGTCATGGACACTTGGACAGTACACGCCTTGTCTTCCCAACAGATCCAGCTGTCTGGGAACCATTAGTATGCCAGCCCAGATTTAGCTTCATTGCTTATGTTATCTGTTTCCATGCAACTCATCCTATTTTAGATGCTTATGTACTTCCTTTTCTCTTCCCCGATAAGTGTTAAACATTGAGATCAGCATAGATCTGTAGACAGCTAATAGTTCTGAACTTTTCATGTAATTAGGAATGGGCTTTCTTGTACATATTTGAAGATCTGTAAACAGCCAATAATTCTGTACTATTCATGCACCAGATTATGGATCTGTAAACAGCGAAATTTCACCAACTTGTGTATGAAAATGTAATCAGGAATCGGCTTGCTTGTACATGTTCGAGGTTATTTCCTTGGATGTAAAGTAGAACCCAAAAGTCCAAAACTTGATGACATCAAGATTCCCAAACCCCACAAGAAACAGAAAAATAAACAAGGAACAAAAAAAAGAGCTTTCTTTTGGCTGAAGGATAGAACAAGTTCTCTTTAGTTTCTAATATTGTAAGATCCAATACGTGAATACCATTTTAGGGGTTTTCTATCACATGCCACATGTCTAAAAAAGTGCTTAGAGGAGATTTATTTAATTAACATCATAACATGGACATTCAGGTTTTATATATTGAATCGTTGCAAGTATAATTATATTGTGGAACAGGTAACAAGAAGTGTTGATACTGAGCCTGGTCATCTCAGTCCACAAGAACAGAAAACTGTAGATGCCATAGTTGAAGCAAGGTGATTGTCTGCAAATGTTTGTACACTATCTTCTACAACTAAAGATGGTTCTATATGCTCATAATGAAGTATTGTACCTCCTTTTCTTTATAGCAAGCTTCCACTCTCTATCATATTAGTTGGAGTTGGAGATGGGCCTTGGGATATGATGAGGGAATTTGATGATAATATCCCCGCTCGCGACTTTGATAATTTTCAGGTAATCAATCATGCTGCATTCGATGTTATTTCCCCTGGGTGTTGGTAGCATTTGGGATATTATTGGTTTGTACATGCTTTAATGTTATTTTACTTTTATGTTAGTTCGTCAATTTCACAGAAATCATGTCCAAGAATGTGCCTCCAATCAGAAAAGAGACGGAATTTGCTCTTTCAGCTTTGATGGAAATTCCTACTCAATATAAAGCAACAATTGAACTGAATATACTAGGGTAATTGACACACTTCTAATTTTTTCACTGTTGCCTCTTGGGCACATAAATTTGACCCTTCGGGGTGCATTTGGTATGCGGGACAGGACGGTACAAAAACTTGCTGGCCCACGTTTGGTGCGACGTTAGACGGGACTGAACAGGATCCGAGTGGGAAAAGTGCATTTCTTTAACCCACCAAAATAAGTGGAAGAATTTTTTTGGGAGATAGGGACAAGATTGGTAAATTATTAAAACTGCCATTGTCAAATTAATACCCTAAAACCTTCCACAATTCTTTCACCTGCTTACCTCACTCCAGTCCCGTCTAGTCCCGTTGGTGTACCAAAATGCACCCTAATCGGGATGGGATAGAACAAAAACTTGTCCCACGTTTGGTGCGACATTTCCTGGAAAAGGACTGGACTGAGGTGAAACAAAAATCATGGAGATGAGACAAGATTGGTAAATTACTAAATTACCTACGTTAAATTAAAACCCTAAAAATCTCCCACAATTCTTTCACCCACTTACCTGACTCTCGCCCATCTAGTCAAGTCCTGTCTGCCTACCAAATGCACCCTTACTGTCTCTTTCTGTTTTTTGAACTTGGTCACATGAATGTGATGCTTGACCCTCTTTCTTTTCATTTTTCAAATTTACAGTAACCAGAAAGGAATTTCTCGGCACAGGGTTGCCCTTCCTCCTCCGATTTATGGTACATCCTCTTTTAGCCGCCCGAAACCATCACCTTCTAGTAGCTTCCAGAAAGGATCACATTCTTATTATGGCCAAAGTAGTCCTCCTCGTGCTGCTCCTTATAATGATCAAATTAGTTCTCAGCCAATGGCTCCACCTGCTCCAAATTCTACTTATGACAATCAGGTACATTTGATTAGTTCTTCTATTGCTTGGTTTCATCCCTACACATGAAATCCTGCACTTTTTGAAAAGAAAAAAGTACCTCTGGAAAATTTATAAATCTTGCAATTTACGTACATAAGTACTCTTTCTTTAAGTATATAATATTTATATACAGTAAATACTCACACACGCTATGAGGTTTGAACTCTTGACCTCCGAGGAGACTAGGATTTGGCAGTAACTTTGATACCGTTGGGCCAATGATCTTTTGGTTAATTTTTTTGTATACAAAGAATTTAAGGAGTACACACCTCCTATGTAACAGCCTAACAGGCTTTTTGGCTTGTATTTTATTGATGTAGGTGGCAATTTTCAACTCAGTTGAAAATTTGGTCACTTTCGGTTATATTTTTATTGGGTTAAATGGGTAAAATTAGAACATTTAACTAAAAAAGGGAAGGGGTTGGGTTATGGTGAGAAGGGTAAGAATTGATCTCCACCCTTGGATCAATCCTAATTGAAGATCAACACTAATGAGATGCAACGGGTCAATTCCAGTAAGGAGAGCAATTGATGGGTGGGGGTGAGATTAAAAGTGATCAAGGTTCTAGATCCCTTCTTACGTTTCTCACACTTCTCACACTAACTGCTATTCTCACACGATCTTTCGTCAAAAGGGAAGGAGCCTAACCATTAAAAAGTAGTGTTTACAATCTCCTACATTGTTCTATTTAAAAAATGGAATCATTTTTTTATTAGTAGTTTTTGCATTCATATTTAATACTCCCTTAGTCCCAAAATAAATGTTCACGTGAAAAAGCCACACAATTTTAGGAATATGTAATCATTACACTTTTTAATTAAGAAAAGGACAATTTTCCACTTAATTATAGAGAGAGAAATTTTCCCATCTCATAATTAAAGGTAGAATGGGAAAATAGACATTTACTTTTGAAAGTAGACATTTATTTTCAGACAAACTAAAATAGTAATGTAGACACCTACTTTGGAACGGAGGGAGCGTATTAGTTACTCTCTCCATCCCAAAAAAATGTCCACAAATCTATTTTAGTTTATACCCAAGCTAGTGTTCACTTTTACAAGCGTTTGCCTTCCAATTCTACCCTTGATTATGAGATGGAGAAATTCATTACTCCCTCTATTATTAAGGGTACAATTGTCATTTAGTTAATTAAAAGGTGTAATAATTACATATTTTTAAGACCGTGTGATGAACTTGAAGAAGTCTTGGCAGGTCAGCCGGGCTCATTTTGATCTCTACTTACTGTTACACTTGTCCTTTCTCGTCATTTCACATTTTCGTGACATTCTGTGTGAACCTTGCAGTTATGTCCCATCTGCCTTACTAACCCAAAGGACATGGCCTTTGGCTGTGGTCATCAGGTAATTCATCTTTACCTGTATATTTTCTTTTTTGAATTATATAACATTTAGAGTAGATACGTTTTTCGTCCCTGGTCTTCATTTATTACATTTTCTTCATCTGTGTGAACCCCTTGCAATTTGTTTTGTTTTTTGTCCCTGTGACTAACAGCGGTTAAAAATCTGTTAAATGAGGGTATTTTTGTCATTTTACCTTTTCTTTAATCACAAAGACTAAAAACGCAAATTTCGACATATACGGCACAAAACACATGCACACACTCACCATCGGTCAGGCTTGAACCCCCACCTCCGAGGTCAAGGAGGTGCGATTACCAGGTAGGCGGGAACGGAGGCGAACCCAAATGGATAAATATGTGCCACCACTTCATGGCTCCGTCGTGAAGGGGAAAAATTGAAGGGTGCCTCCGTATTGTTTAGTTGGGTGCGACCGTATAGTTTTTGAAATTGAAATGTTAACACAAGGGCCAAGGCTTTAATGGTAAGATGGTGAATACTTCTGCCTTCGTACAAAACGCCCAGGTTCGAGTCCTATAGTTGTCAAATTTATTGTTTTTTGTGTACCTTCGGACTCGAACATAGGTCGTTTCTATGTAAGGACAAAGAATCAACTCATAAATCTATACAAATATCGTGAAAAAGAGTAGAGGGTTGTTTGGCAGTTGCTAAATGGTGTGGTGCGACTCTCATGTTAGTGCAAAATGAAATATAATTGTTTGCTAATTATTTACAACAAAGTCAGGGCGCTGAATGGTTAAGTCAGACCCATGATACAAAATCATTCAGAGGGTTTTGAATACATTAGGAAACAAGCTTTTTTTTGTCAAACAAGATTCACCTTTTAACGATTCAGAGGCAGCCTCTTAATGGAACTGTTAAGAGGTAAACAAACAACCCTTAAGATATTTTTTATAACAAATTTGTGCCACCACTTTGAATTTTTTTGCGGGGAAGTGTACCACTGGGCCAATAACATTTAGGTTCCACCTGTATTGAGTTTGTTGCCTTTTAAATTTCTGGACATGTGGTTTTCTGCAGACATGTTGCGAATGTGGACAAACTCTTCAGTTATGCCCGATTTGCAGAAGCTCGATCGAAACTAGAATAAAGCTCTACTAAGCTTGGTTTGTGTTTGTTTAGTTAGTGTTAGCCCAAATTCTTTGAAGGTCGAAAATGTTTCGTGTTTGGTGATTTCTTTTTAATATTTTGGCGAGCTCATGTTGTGGATTTGTAAATGTAAGTCGATACCATGTACAGGTCTCTCTGTTTGGATTTTTCTTTATCGATGGTATTTGAATTTTCTTCATCGTTTTGGCGGAGTTCTTTTTTCCGTGTTGAATTTACCGGCTGATGATGGTTTTTGTCGGGAGTCGGTATTTTGGGGCTGTGTTATGTATTCGGCTTGTTGAAAACTTGTTTAATGTGAATTAAGGGTCATTGCATAGCACCCTCGATCTTATTATCGTATAATATAGTTGTTGGCTATTGGAGTTGAGTGTAATTTTTTCCAATTTTGATTAAAAAAAATAAGAATCATAACATACATGTTTTCTATTTGATTACAACGAACATCAAGGGGTTGTTTACTAAATGTTTATCGGTAGTTGCCATTCTTTTTTACCTTATGGGATAACATTTTCAGCAATCAAAATGGGTTGACGGTAAGCATTTCGATAACTTAGTAAGTGCTTACCGAGGATCCTTGTTTTCCCTTTTATTGGTTAAGATTATGGGTTATTATTTTGTTCATTCGATAAGATAATTGAACCAGTAATCCATGATATTTACTAAAGGTCCTAAAATGATAATTTTTTCATCACCATTTAATGATTGTTGTAGTATATAAACCATCGGAAAATTTGGAATAATTATTTCAAAGGTTTTTTAATATATGTAAGAAGTATATTTTTAATCGGGTACGAGGCCGTTTATCAAATGCTTGCTCGGGTAAGTACTTATTAGTAAAATTTAACATTGTAACATACTTACCGAGTAAGATTTTAGTTCACCAAAATGATAGCATATGCAACAATTTACGGGGTAAGCGTTAACCACAGTAAGAGTCGTCGCTGTTACTTATCGAATAAGACTTTCGGTCATTGTCTTTGCTTCTAGCGGGTAAGATCACTGTCATATTCATTCGATAAGACAATTAGACTTTCTGCCCATACTTGTCTTAAAAGTTAATAAGTCATTTTTGTATATTATTATATTAAATTACTATTAAACGATTATTCACTTAACCTTATATTAAAAATGTTTGATCGAAATAAACTTGCTTCTAATCGTTTTTTTCTTCTTCTAAATAAGCGTATAATTTTGATTTACGAGCTTAGATAGCAAAAGGAGTTCGAAGAGTTCTCTTTCTTCCCAAAACCTCCGGAGAACATGAAGTTCCTCCGTACTATCTCCGGTAGGTTTCCGTTCAATTCCAGTTCATCATTCCTTATTATTATTCATAGTTGGTCACTGATTCCATTTCCTGATTTGTTTTTGTCAGCGAATCGTCAGTCACTGCTCGGAGCCCTTGGCCATCGTCATTTTGCTGTTTCCGCCGATAACTATGCTAAGAGAAACTACGCTAACAATGTGTCGGAATACAACACCGTTATTGGATCTCTCACTTCTCAACGAAGGTATCATTTCTTAATGGTACGCTTTGCGTTTAGGGTTTTTGGGAATTTTCAATGAACAAACCTAATAGGGATGTTTATGTATAGGATTTATTTGCTGAGGGATGTGTATGATGATATGATGTTGGATGGAGTGAAACCAGAGAAAGATACATTTCGCGCGCTGATTGCTGGTAGCATGAAGGGTGTTCGTTTGCAGGATTGTTTCTTCTTCCGTGACCAAATGAAATCCATGGGTTTGATTCCTGATGTACGTTTTTTTACTTGCATCTACACCTCTTAATTCGTAGCTTTTTTGGGACTTGTAAAAATGTTATAACCAACTTTGCATTTCCTTTGGTTTCTTATAGTGTAATATTTATTCTCACAGTTTTCCTTGAGTGAACCGCTATATATAGCTCATATAGCATGACTCTATATCGTCTGATGACTTGATGTATATGGACAGCTTCTCATTTATCCTTTGCTCTTTAGTTCTCATTTTTTTAATGCTCTGCCACTCATACTGTTGTTTGGTGGCCTACATTACTTACTTTCTAACACTTCATTGTCTGGGACATTCCTCATATCGCTTATAGGTTGTTTTGTACAATCTCATGATCTCAACATGTGGCAAGTGTAAGAACTCTGTTGAGGCAACACGGGTACGTATTTCTTGTATCTCTATCATATATTGATAGACTGATCAGACAATAGCATCTTATGGCGTAAATATGATATTATACTCTCCTAACATTTTGATGTCTTTGTAAATGAAGATTTTTGAAGAAATGAAGAAGCTTGAAGTAAAGCCTACCGCACAGACATTTATCTGTCTAATTAATGCATGTGCAGCCGCTGGGCGATTAGATCAAGTGTATGCATTTTATCATTTGCCCAAACATTTTGACCTCTTTGTTGCTAATTGATGCATCACATTGCATTAATTTTGATGACATGATTATGCTTAGAATTTTGATGACATACCATCATGCCTAGAATGGATGATTGTTGGTGTTCATTGCGTTAGGCTATTCATATGAGATTATGACCTTATTATATCTATTACGTTATCTACCCTCTTCATTGGAAACTATTCTTGATGGTTGGATGATATTAATTTCAACATATCAGATATGCTATTATTGGTGATATGACTGCTGCTGGTCTTGGTTTAAACAAATTCTGCTATGCGGGGCTTATAGCTGCACATAAGAACAAGACACCTTTAGCCAAGGACACGGCTGCCAAAGTAATTCGTGAACTATCTTGTAAGATTCTGCATACTTAACTATTTCCCGTTCCAGGAATTAAATTATTTTCATTTCTATGAAAAAGATTTTGGAGCTTGTTGAGCAATCAAAAGGGTGGTCTTCACTAGAAGAGACAAGGGAGAGTGCTGAAAATGTCATGATGGGTATTTCTGAGGAAGAGTTGTACAATATCCCTACTGCTAACTATATTCACAGGAAGGCTGGTTTTGTTCAAAGGTTCTTCACAGTATATCACGTTGCCTTCGACGCTTGTGCGGACCTGAAGGATGTCCAGGTACTATCAAATAGCTTCAATGCATGATAAACAAATTTAAGAAACTCATCGTATTCTGATGAATGCATCTTGATAGCAAAATTTGTTTTTTGGAAAGATCTTGATAGCAAAATTTGTTCTCATAAATTTAGCAAATATAGACATGTAGGAGGCTCAATAAGCTGAAATGATTGAAGAGCACCATCTTATTATCAACAAAATGATGCATCCAAAGGGGTGAATTTTACACATCCACTCCAAACAAAATGCTATATAACAGTATTGGCTGATACCCGGAACATAGGCATTATAGATGGATAAGAATGTTGTTTGGCTATAAAGACCATGTTGGGTATGAGTCAATACTGTTATGTACCATTTTGTTTGATGTGGATGTGTAAGATCTACCCTTCTGATGCATCATTTTGTTGTTTATAAGATGTTGCTCTTCAATCATTTCATTTTGTTGAGCCTCCTACATGTCTTTGTTAGCCAAATTAGTTGTATGAAGAACTGTGTTTTCTGATCACTGATAACTCATGAATAGCAAACCTTTTAGATTCACTTGGTAAGTGTCATAGAGAGATTCATAAACGTGCAAAACCTGATCTATAGCCTAAGAAGTTTATAATACCTTCTCTTATTCCTTTTTTTTTTTTAATTTCTTTTGGAAGCTTGAAAAGACAGTATAAGAGATTGCATATGGTGTTTACTTTATTGTATGATAACATAGTTCAAGTTTTCAAGATTCAGTGGGATGAGGGCAAAGTAACACCACATATATTTGATCCCCTGATAAATTCCTTGTGGAAATGCAGAAAACCTTCTACTTTTATTTCCGTTGTCAATCAGTATTCTTTATTATTTAGCAGTTCAAAATCTCAAGACACAATGCTTATTGAATCTCTAGCATGTGTTTTACTATATATTCAATCTAAACTCTTTTTGCCATGTTGAATGTTGCAGGCAGTGGATGCTCTTCAGGAGATGCTTAAGAAGGATAATAGAAGGCCTGATGTCTTTATCTTGATGCAAATTATGAGGTAACTAAGTTCTAGGAATTAGTTTTGTTGTTTTTTAGACGTCTGCTTAACTATATTACTAGTTAGTGATATGAGGTAGTTACCGAGTTACATGTTTATGTATGCATTAAATGCTGGTTTATATAGAAGAGGAAAATAAATTCTACATGTTGATAGACTTTTTTAAACATGGTGTTCATTGACTTGGAGAAAACCTACGATAGTGTTCCACAGGACGTGATTTGAAGGACCCTGGAGGTGTGAGGGATACCATGGAGCTATTTCGAGGGAATTTAGGATATGCACGAACAAACTATTACTTGTATCAGGATGCAATGGGTAAGCGTGAGGCAGAGTATTTCCCAAATGGAGATAGGGATATATCAGGATTTGACGCTAAGCCCATTTCCGTTTGCTGTGATTTGGAAGAGATTTCACGTGGGATCCAAGGGAAGGTTCTATGGTGTCTATCATTCGCGGACGACATTGCACTGATAGCAGAGGTAAAATGGAGGTGAATGTTAAGTTGGAACAGTGGATGATGGCACTGGCGGCTTGTGCATTAGTCGTTTTAAGACTACATATCTTCGGTGCAATTTTAGTAGGAAGTGTAATGATGAGGGGTGGAAGTATGCATTGAGGGCAAAGAGCCTCCCAGAAGGATAGATTTGAAGTACAAAATTTCATGATCCGAAGAAGGGGGACGTTGAGGATGACGATACACACCACATAAAGGCATGGTGGTTTAAATGTAGGATTTCTATGGGAATGTTGTGTGACAGCCTGACAAGGTCCTGAGAGACTGGAGGGCAAATTCATAAGGTTGCTATTAGACTGGCCTTGTTGCATGGGGCGGACTGTTGGGTGATAAAAAAGCGTATGAAAGGAAGTCGGAAGTTGCAGAAATGAGGATGCCTGTGGCGAAACTATGTTGGTAAGGATACCAAATGGGGTCTTGCAAGTGGAGCTAGGAGTAGCGTCTGCTTTAGGCTCATTCATAGGAGCCATATGTCGGCTACGGTGAGGAGGGTCGAGAGTGTAACAGTCGAGGGAGTGAGGAGGAGCGGAAAGCGAGGAGGACATGAGATGAGCAACTCAGACTGAACATGACGCCTTTAGACATTATCGAAGGCATGACCTCATATAGGAGTTCATAGAGATGTTGGGCTAGTCACTAAGGTAGCAGTTTTTGTGTAAGGACTTGTGGTTATTGTGGTTCGAGAGGGGTTGTGGTGGTAGGGGCGGAACCGGG